AGTGCAAGTTAGCAAATTCTGTTTTTTATTTCGTTAATCCTCTTTTTCATGGTATATTGTTCTTTCATGAAGTTCTGGCCATGATTTTATTCATAAACTGTATGCAAATTGTTTGATACTTTATAAAGTGTCAAAGAAGAACGTCTTGGAATCAATTAACAGAACTATTTAGCGATGTTGTACAGAAGGCAATATCCAACATTGAAACTCATCGGAAGGTACAGCGAGAACCTTACGACTGCAAGAGTCTCTCTATCTCTTAAAGAATTAAAAGTAGTTAACTTACTACTATTATTAAAAATGCATCCATTAATTTCTATAGTAAACTTTAGTCAAATATATTATGAGATTGAATGAACTATTCGAAGTTACTACTTATGTTACTCCATTTTTTATATCAATTACAAATTATATCATATCAATGACACGACAATCTTTCGTCTCTAAAATTATTTTTTTTTTCTCCAGTGAAAATTCTTTCAACACCAGAGGAAATACTCATCGTCCTATGCCGTTGCCGAAAATCTTAAAGTCGCAAAAAGGCTCCGAGATGCGTCCCCTCCATAAAATATAGGACGTATTCTAGTGTGTTGACACCTTCGATGTAACGTGACAATGAGTCATTTATGTCTTCTGCTTAACCTAAGTGGTCTTTGAATTCGAGCACTTCCTGTAAAATCAACCAGAGCAGGAAAGTAGAGAAGATGAAGAATCAAGAATATGAATTATCTCTCTTTGTAAGGTACCTGTACTGAAACTGTAAAGGATTAATGATGTCAGTGTAATGAGGTCATCAAAAGTAAGGATACTAAAACAGGAAATTTATACGGAGTTATTAATGTAATAACTTTCGGTTTTCAAAGGAGTGTGAGATAGCAAATTCTTTTTTTTTTTTATTTGTTATGCTTTTGTTTACCATTGAATTATTTCTTCTATCATTTAGTTAATCTGTATTTTCAATTTACATTTAAACGCTAACTCTCATTCTAGTAAACCACATCAATTTTTAAAATTATATAAATTATCAGACTGCAGCCTATTTTCCATAGGGGTGACGTACAGATATTAATGTTGGGAAAGTGTGCACATGAATTCTGATTTCTTGATGTGAGTAGTTTAGTTAATTATCACAGATTAGCTGGTCTTGGAACAAAAGAACTTGCGTTGAACCTCATAACTTTTAGAAGCTTTAAATGACGTAGTTAATTAGAATGCGAGGTAGCGTTTAAACGTAAAGCTAAAATTTTATAGGTTAACTAAACAATAGAAATAATAATAAATGAACTGAAAACAAAACCATAACGAAATAAAAATAGGATTTGCTACCTCATATTCCTTCCTCTTTCGAAAAAGGTGATTACATTAATCACTGTTCATAAATACCCAATTTTCGTATCCTTATTTTTAAGGACCTCATTATACTGACACCACGAATCCTGCCCAGTTTAAGTACATATACCTTACAAAGAATACGTTCATGTTCTTCTATCTTCACCTTCTCTACCTTCCGGCTCAGGTTACGGGACCTCTTTGAGTTCAAAGACAAGTTAAGCTGCAATAATTAACTAGTTAGATCAAGACATTTAAAATCATGTGATCATTATTTACATACTCTTTAACAATATTAACATTTACAAGTCACCGTTATGGAAAACTGGTGTTAGTCTGATACTTAAAACTAATGTGAATAACTAGATCGTGAGTTAGCGTTTAAATGTAAAACTAAATATTCACAGCTTAACGAAACGAGAGAATGAATAATATATGAACGGTTAACAAATCCAAAACTAAATAAATTGAACTTGCTACCCAACACTCCTTCCCTTTAGAAAAAAAAAGGATTACATTAATCACTATTTAAAATACCCAATTTTAGTATCCTTATTTTTAACGCCCTAATTATACTGACATAGTCAATCCTTAACAACTGAAATACAGATATATTTGAAGGCGAAATCATTCCCTTTTCTTCTATATTCGGCTTTAGCTTCCGGCTCTATTAGAAAATTAAATTTTAATTGTGTCGGAAAGATACTAACGGTTGTAAGCTTCTCCCTGTATATTTCGATGCATTTAAACTTTGGATAATGTCTGTTTAATATCCGTAAATAGTTTTGTTCGTTCTTGTATGGTTGAAGGTGATGTTGGGTATTTTGTTAGTTGTTTAAAAGAAGTCCCTTTTTGATTCCTTAAAACTAATTATATAGTTTAGATGTAGTTTATGGGTATTCCAATTGCCAGAACTTTGTTCTACCATGAAAGAATATACCATAAATATCAGGATTAATATTTCTATAAATAAAAGGAATTATAAAATACAATATTTACAAAACTACAGTGTATAATGTTTTAAATAACAAATAACATTTACCATCTCTCGTGATAATATCAATATTTCCAATAAGTTGTAACATTATTTACATACTCTTTTGCAACATTAAAATCTGAAAGTTACTGATACGGGAAATTGGTGTCAGTTGCTGTTATTAATAATATATTTATTGTCTTCTTTATTACATTTTCTTATTCTAAAATATTCTTGTATAGAATGGACTGTCTAAACTTATTTATGTTGATCAACTTTTTTTTATTAAAAAAAAATCAATTCAATGATAGAACAATTTTACTTCTCTAAATTGAAAAATATTTTCTCGAAAATTATTCCTATACCAGAAAATGCTAATCGTTCTATATCGTTGCAGAAAAATGTGCTCAACCTAGATGGTCTTGAAACTCGAGCACTCCCTATAAGGTGAACCAGAGCAGGAAACTAGATAAGATGAACCTGAAGATTTAATAACATAAACAATTTGTCCTAATATCTGTACTTAACTGTGTGTGGGGGGGGGATTCATAATGTCAGTATAACGATGACCTTAAAAGTAAGAATACAAAAATTTGGAATTTATACGGAATGACTTAATATCATCTCTTTCTTTGTCTAAAGCGGAAGGAGTGTGAGATAGCATATTCTTTTGTTATTTTGTTATGGATTTCTTTACAGTTCGTTTATTCATTCTATCATTTAGTTGAGCTCTGGATTTTTATTTACACTTAAACGCTAACTCACCTTCTAGCTAATCTCGTCAATTTTGAATTTATATGAATTATTAGACTAACATCGGTTTCCCATATCAGTGACGTACAGATATTAATATTGGTAAAGAGTATGTACAAAATTTATTTAATTATTACAAATTAACTGGTCTTAGAACTCTAACTTCGTTAAGCTGAACTAGAACCAAAATAGAAAGTCGAATATATAAAAATGGTTTCTCCTTGTACTATATCTGTAGTTAAACCGTGTAGGATGTCAGAATAACGTTACAAGTAAGGATTTAATTTTAAACTGAATAATGTAATCACTTCTTCTAAACGGGAAAGAGTGTGAAATGGAAAGTTTAATTTTATTTCGTTTTGAATTTGTTTACAGTTATTTCTCATTCTATCATCATTTAGTTAATCTGTAAATTTTTAATTTGCATTTTAGTTATTCACATCAATTTAAAATTTGAATTATGAGACCGACACCACTTTCTCATAGCGGTGACTTGTAGATGTTTCTGTTGTTAATAAGTATATAAATAATAATCACATTATTTCAAATCTCTTGATCTAATTAATTATAGCAACTTTGCTGGTCTTTGGAC